AGCCGCGTCCACAGTGTAGGTGGGGAGTGTGAGTGCTCTGTGGGCACGAGGAATTGCGTGCAGGGGCCACCTCGGTACAAGCGGACGGCCCTCACGCCAGGGCCCCGCAGGCTCACCGAGGGCGGTGCCGGCCCTGTCCCACCTTCAGCCAAATCAGAGACTGGCGCTCGGTCCTGTCCGCAAGGCCTCCGGGCCGTGACCCCCGGCACCGGTCCTTCCCCGTGCTAGTTGGGGTTTATCCAGCGGTCTGTGGGTGAGCTTCTCCCCACACCGGAAGCGATACCCGCTTGACAAAACACGAAGGCGCGTGGCCCTAGGCGTCCGGTCACCCGGCCCGGCTCCGGTTCTGGGTCAACTGGGCTCACGTTGGTGCCAGCGCACAAGCCAGGGGGCGCGGCTGGGGCGGTCGGGGGTCAGGGTCAGCTCGCGGCCGGGGTCCTGACGCCCTCTCTTCTCCGCTGCAGCCCGTGTTCCTGGCCTTCCGCATCGCGCCCGGGGCAGGTAAACCTCACGCCCATGTGCACAAGTGTTGTGTCGTGCAGTGACGTGTGGTAAATATGACTCCTTCCCTCGAGTTCACCTTTTCTCAGCTTTTCCCGGTGTGTTTGTTCCTTTAACAAATGACACATTCCGCGGCAGGGAAGCGATGGCAGCGACAGCAGAGGGCCCTTCGCGAGACCTCCCCGTAGCGCGAGGAGCAAGTGGAAGTCGCGTCCATGAAATCCGTACTCCTAACAGCTGCATCGACAAACCCGCCCGAGCGCCACCCGCTAGACGGCCGGCCCCACACTTCGCTTCAGCCTCCGGACCGTTCCGGAAAAGCCTCACATACCTCACTGTCTTGTCTGTTCGTGTGACATTTAGTAGAAATAGTGGGTTTTTGTAATAAGTCACCGTCCTGTTGCCAAAACTCTACAGACAGCAGAGGGAGTCTGTATTTCAGGCTCCAGGGTTTCAATTTTTAACAATTGTCAGCGTGGGAAGAGCGTCTCCGGCGTAGAAAGCCCACGGGCGTCACCCCCCTGCCAGCTGGAGGCGAGCCCGGGGTGGGCGGCGGGCGCGGGCTCTTTGCCGCCTCAGGCAGCGTGGCCGCTGTGCTCCGGCCCCCCCCCCCCTTCCGTGTTATTTACTCTAACTGCCGTGTTAAGTGGTTTTTGAATTACACTGCAGCTGCTTTCCATTTTTATATATATAAATATATATAAATATATACTTTTTAAAAATAATTTATAAACCTTACCAAAACTTATGCTAAATACACTTTCCAGTACGAATGCTCGAGAGTGTCCTATCAGCAGGTGGAAGTGGAGTCTAGGAGCTCAGTTTTGCGTAGATCACGCGGACGCATCCGAGAGTGCGGCCGGCGGGGCGCGAACGTCGGCCACAGCACGTCTACACTTGCAGATTCTTACTCCTATGCCTTTTCTTCTGTGTAACATTAAGGACTGAATGTGAAGTTTGTAGCTAGCTCGGGTGTACCTTTTAGGAATTTTGTAACCTGTTTGTCTGTCTTTTGTTACTGTTCTATGGTGCCAAGTATCCTACGTAAAACGATAATATCATGGGAGGAATGAAAAACCACAATATCTAGTCTGCTTCAGGTAGAAGTTGCTTCTAACATGGGCTGTATATAAAAAAAACATTAACCGTAAGTTCCCTCGGCTGCTCAGCTACAACCAACCCACGTGATGGCCCTGCTGCAAACGTTCTCTCCTAGCACGAAGTACGGCACTAAAGGTCACTGCAGTGCCTGTGGATGAAACACAAACGTGGGTTTTATTGATTTGCTCTAGAACACTACAGAATTCCTGGACTGTGTGAAGGCCTCAGATGCTCGTCTTCAGGTGAATCACTACCCTTGCAAGTGATCGGGTGTCCGCTCGCCGAATCTGTCCTTGACCGCGCGCGTTGGGGGTCTGTGTCAGTGCTGTGGCCCCTCTGCTCTGTCCACGCGCCACACGGCAGTCCCGCCCCACGCCGTTCTGTCTCACGGGGTTTCAGTTGTTGGTCACTGTGGAGGCCTTTAGAAACGACCGCTCCCGGTTCCTAAGCAATAAAATTGATCCTGGTGAAAACAGTGCCGCGTCCGCTTTGTTTCTTCCTTCCCTCTCCCGCCTCCTTTGAAATGCTAAGTAGCGGAGGGCGAGCCTTTGTGGGCTGTTCCTTCCGATCCGGCCCCGCGGAGATCCTGGAATACCCTTCCGTGGACAGTGGTAGCTAATGGCAATTACCCCTCGGCCTTTGAAAAGGAGATTATAAAAACGCACTGCGTTCCGCGAAAGTTGAAAACTGGAAATTCCTCCGCTCTTAACTTGAGCTAAGAGAACAGTCCACTCGCAGAAATGAGGCAGATTTCCAGACCGCGCCATTAAAGAAAAAACCAGCCAGTGGTTCAAAAGAAACGTCTTTTGTAAAATGGTGCGGCCCCTGTGGCAGAGACCAACTTCAGCCTTTCACGTTTCTGTCTCACGTTTTAAAAAAACGCCTTCCGGGAGAACAGTTGTCGTACTGTCATCACTCGTATTTAATTTTTAACTTAAAAGTCA